CAACCACAACCACAACTACAACTACAACTACTACAACTACAACTACAACTACACAACAACTACAACTAGAACTACAACTACAACAACTACAGCTACAACTACAACAACTACAACTACAACTACAACAGCAGCAACAACAACAACTACAACTACAACTACAACTACACAACAACTACAACTACACAACAACTACAGCTACAACTACAACAACAAGTACAACTACAACAACTACAACTACAACTACACAACAACTACAACTACAAAACAACTACAACTACAACTATATGACTGCAACTACACTACACTAATTACATTACACCACAACTACAACTCCACTACGCTACAACTACAACTACAGTTAGCAGTACATCACACTACATCCAGCAGTTGTGGGTGAGGTGACCACTGCAACCATTACAACCACTCCAGCAAACACAACTCCAACCACCTTTCGGTCAATCAGTGGATTCGCTCTGCCATCCGTGATTCACAACATCCAACGTCTCCTATAGGTTTCCTATTCTGAAACTTCCGCCACCGCCTTGTGCGGTACTACTGGTATAAGCCATTTTCTCCATGGTGGGTCTCCGTTGGGCGAAATTTCGTGCAAAGCTGTCGCCAGAGGGTCCCCGGCTGCGCCATGTGCGTCACATGAACCGCGACTTGGGTCCAAGTTGGGCACCCCGGCCCTAGCTAGGCCCAACCCGATTTTGCGGACTCAACGCGACACGCTGAAAACTTGCATTCTTATCGCTATTTCCAATGTTTGTTCGCTTTGATTTGATGAGGGCTCGCCTGAGGCTGTGTTCCCCACATTGGGCCTGTCTTGGGCCCAACTTCGGCGCCACATGCCCCCACGCAGGACCAAGTTGCGCATGTTAAGCCCAACTTGCGTCAAAACGTGCCCAAGTTGCGCCATGTTGGACCGCAGTTGGGCTCACTTGCCAACTGGCCCGAGTTCGGCGCAAGTTAGGCCCAAGTTGGGCCCAAGTCGCCTCGAGTACGGTCCAACTTAAGGCTAAGGACGGCCAAGTTTGACCCCAGTCAGCTTTGGTTGGGCCAGCGTCGTGAAGCGACTCGCATACAGGCCCATAAAGCAAAGCTGCCCACATCTGCTCGGAAATCAACAGCGTCGTGGACGCAGTTGCGAATCCAAGGGCCAAACACTACCACCAAAGAGCCCTCCGCTCCCAAAAGGGGAAGCACTGGTCCCAGCAGCAGTAGCCTGCACTGCCATACATGAATCTAAATGAATCTAAAAGTTGTAACTCTGCAGCAAGGTCTACTTGCCGGCATTTGAAACCAGATTGTTGTTCAATCATTTTGATGCCAATCTACTTGATTCCAACGTTTTGGGACGCCTGGAATGGAGACTTGCCAGTGGCACCGCCAGCTACAGCAAACGGTGATGCAGCCACGGGTATAGGTTTTTTCCCTGGCAGGACATGAGATGCGTGGCACCAGCAACACTCTTGACACACTATCTGCTGGAAAGGGTCTTATTTTCCTCCAAAGAATTCGACATTTAGAGTGGGGCTGTTGCAAACTTGGAACCACAAAATCCCACTGTCTAAATCTCATCTTCCCTATCAATATTGGCATTTCTTAACGCTTTCACCATTGTCAGACAAAGCAGATCATGTTGTTGAATGGGTATGGGTCAACATTTAAAAAGCAAAACCGCAGAGGTTGGTTCATTTTGAGGATTGTAAACATCCCCATTTTTGCTCACTGGCATGATCCATGTCCGTTTCCTCAAAACATCACTATCGCAACCTCCAAGAAGATTTAAAAAAATCCAACTCAATTCAATTCTGGCAAATTGAAACCCCGATTCTGAATCTTGGGGTTTCTATCACTGAACCCCAAAATACCAGGCGTAGCTCAGTGATATCCCCATGACATCGCCACATCCACGTCTGGCCTAGACCGGAGGACCTGGGGCGCTCCGAGGGTCGTTGCGGTGCTGGCAGATCATGATCACCTGCAGTGGGGATCTATTTTTTTTTTTGCTCGGCAATTGATGCAATTGTGAATGTGATCCTACACTGTGTATATCATATACACAACTATCATGCATATATACATATATACATATGCGTATCACATATGTATATATATATATATAAACACATAATATATAATATATGATATATATATATATATACATACATCCATAAACATTATATACATATATACATTCACAATACATATAGATATATAATTATATATATGCGATATTTAAATTTGAAGTGTTGATCCATCTAAGCCCATCTCTCACCACATACGCTGGATAAGCAACGGGGGCCACCCTTCCAAGTGCCCCCACAATAGTGAAAACTCACCGTTCCATCCGAGGCTGCCAGCAGAACCACTGGTGGTGCCACCAGGTCAGCCTCTGTGGTCTCTTTCCTGCACCGTTGCCCAATCGAAAACAGATCGAAAAGCGTGATCCAGTACATCTTTGCTGTAGAATCTGTGATTCAATACATTCCACCTCTGCAGTTTATTGGGTGAAGTGCATGTGGTGCTCCTGGTGATTTTGCCTTTGAAGCTGGTGAGAAGACAAAGTCCCCGCAGCTTGGTGGTATCCTGCAATCGCACATGGCGACAAGGCTTGGCTCATCGATTGCATGTCTGATGGCTAAAGATCTTACCCGTTTTAACCCTACAAATGGCCGGTCATAGGTCCTACAAATTCTCAAAGATTATGATTAGACAGGCTTTTGTTGTCGGGGAGACTGCAAATTTAGATGGTCTGTCCGGTTCAGAAATACGGCCTGGTTCCAGTGAAAGAGTAATGACGGCTTGCACAAAACAAACAAACTGCTCTGCTATATCAATGATGCTTGCATCAATCGGAATGGTTTAATTTTATCGAAACGTATTGCCTTCTTCCACGACTCTGCATTGATGAAAAGTCATCAAATGGGCGTGTCTCAAATTTGGACCCAAAGAAGTCCAATCAGTTTATCATCATTTTCACCATCCGTTGCCATTTCTAGTGATCCCAAATGTTGATCACCGTTGAAAAGCTCAGCTCTGCACATATGATGCTGCTGAATGTGGACAACTCAACTGCTTGCCCTTGCAGGAAGCCGAGCCCAGTTCATCCCGTTGCAGGTTCCAATCTTCTTGGGGGTTGTGCGTAAATGATGGATTAATCCAACATATGAATATAAATATATTATTGTCGTTTTATACATATATATATATTATACATATACATACATACATATGTATATATATATACGGTTATATACGTATATATACACATAATGTATATGTGTGTACATAAAAATAGATGGTGCCATGTTCCTGGTGATTCCATGATCAACCCATGGGATCTGGATCCCCCCTGGCACTAGCCGAACCTCACTGAATGCAATGGAAACAGCTGTGATTCTCCTAACAGTTCCCCGAAGTGAAAGATACTGAATGTGTAAGAATGAATATCCTGCTAGTTGCTTCCTGGTTGGAAAAATCTGCGGAATGGGAGATATGTTCAGCGTCTCACACTCGGCCTCAGGTAGCCCCAAAGGAGCCCAAAGCTGGTCACTCTGAGAACAAAGGGATTCGTCACCTGAGTCGCCCATGGCAGCATCTGACCACTGTGCCTGTGGATAGTTTAATGAAAAATATCATGAGAGATCGTGCGATTTTGGGGTACCCTATTTTCAAACCCAGGACCCGTGCCGCTCAGGACCAGAATGTCAGTGGCGGCAGTAACTCCCATGATCAGCATGGACCTGATCCAATGGGAAACTGAAGTCAGCGCATGAGTGATTCATATGGACCCAGAAATAAGCCATCGGCTACTTGAACACGAATAGCTGGTGTAATAATAGGTTTGCCACACTACAGAGTCCGTCTGTACACAACAACCGACAAAAACGTTGTTCAGCCAGAAAGCATCTTTTTAGACTGCAAACGAGCAGGGTTTCTGTGGAAAGCATATTCTGACACAAGAAAGAACTCCATTCAAAACCCCACGCAACTTGCTAAGTGGTGCGCCAGTCAGGGATCCACAGACTATGCAAGAACAGTTGCTCCACCTGAAGCAGGAAATGTCCAACAAAATCATTTACGTTCTCACAGCGCTTGCACAGCGCTTGAAAGACAGCACAAAGGACTGCACATACGCTTCCATGAAGATCTCGTATGTGGTGATGGCTCCGACACAGCCGCTTTGGCCATCTGCAGCCATTGAAATGACGGCCTCTCAACTCCAAAAGATGTCTTGGAGCGGATGAAACATATGAAACAATCAAGCTGCTATCACCTGCTATGGCTGCTATGGAAAGTACCTGCAGGTTGAAGGCATCTTTCTGATCCGGCTGCTCCATGACCTCGCAATGGCGTGGGTTTTTTTCCGTTCATTCACAGCACTCCAGAATGAGGTAGGAACGGAAACGTTAAATTGGTCACGTTTTGGTGTGGAACCCATGTCTAGAGTGTCACTACTTTGTTCTTGGGTGTGGTAGTTTTGAGCCTTTCCCCATGTGAATGGGATCTCTGAGGCACCCAACGTACATGCACACGACTTCGTAAGGATCTCCATCCTCCCAGTCCAGGCCACATCTTTGGGCTTTGAGTAGGATTGATGGCAGAGCAATGTCATAACCTGCTGATATTCTGTATGTGTGCCTCATGTATGGAATCTAATAGCTATAATAGGATATACCGTATATACCCTAATCACCAGAATGGCGGATGGATCTTCTGCAAAGGACGTTGATTTTCTTCAGCGGGGCAAGGCAGCATAGAGCGCCGCGTCGCTTCAACTTCTGTACAGGCTGTACATGTTAGGCTGTACATGTTAAAGCAGCAAACTGCTCACATCTCCGCACTTTAGGAGACACGCTGCTGGCTAGTTACCACTTCAAATGTTCAGCTTCAACAAATGGAAGCTTAGAGAGGCGTAGTGAGAGCCACAGTGCAGTCCAAACATATGAGTCAAAGAAAAGCTAGGCTATGCAGGAAAAAGTCTAGCTTGAAGGCCACAAAGGAAGGTTTGAGTTCCAACCTTTCAGTTCGCATTTTGGATGCAACTGTGGAGCTTGGTCCTACGACCTATGCTAGAGCTACGTAATTAACAATTTCAGGCAAATGTTAGGGCATACTTTTGCCCGTGCAAGTATGGCAGAAATTCTGTTCAACAGATTTCCACTTTGACGTGTCACATGTGGCATGCTTCTTTGGGATCTCAACTGTGTCCACTCAGCAAGCGCTGACAGACCTTCATTGGCACCAATGTCTGCGTTTCACCTCGGCTCTAGCAGGTTTGACCCGACGGAAACCTAGGGACCTTCCTTCGTTGGAGGAATTTGTGTGAGAAACTGTTGTGTGAAACCATTTGTGTGTGAGACAACCTGTGAAACATTTAAAAAATCGAGGATTCAGCATCAATGTGAACCAATATAATATAATAAAATGCTTCCAGGCGTTTCACAATCGAGGTCTCCGATAAATCATGCAATAACAGCACCAACAAAGCAGGGGCCGAATGGGGCCGAGGCGGCCGAGTTGCAAAAAAGTTTTACAAACCTCCGTGCAAAGCCAGCCTCGACCTACTCGGGATGAGTGGGAAGCAAAACTTCAGAAAACATCTTCACATATCTTCACCATTTTTTTTGGATTCCTATGGATTCCTGAAATACTGGGATATTCTGGGAACTTCTGGGATATTATGGTATATGGGTATATTATATATGCATCCCTGTGATAGATGGATGTTATCCCTGTGATAGATGGATGTTGGATGATGATGGATGATCATCCCCAATCTGAGTTGACCAGCAAAAAAAAAAAATGTCTGCCCACCTCCAAAGCCGCGGCAAGGACCAAGCACAGCACCACCAAACCATGGAGGCAGGCCCATTGAATTTGGGCCGCCTGTAACATGTCAATCATGTCAGAAGTGGAACGAAATTTCTGAGCCTTCACAGCAGCACAGCAAAGTGCCTAGTTATGCCTTGTTATGCCTAGTTGACGTGTCCGCTGGCCTTCAAGAGATTGGCTTTGGTAAATTCTGCCGTGTACTGGGTAAACAGCAAGAGCCACACCTTGACATGGCCGGGTCATGGACTCCTTTCATCAGTCAGGCAGTGACACATTTTTTGTGGGTCGATTTTCATGCCGAGAATCCAAGAGGACCGCTGCCACACACAGGACTGCCCAGCCGACTTCCAAATAAGCAGTGAAACCAATGCTGACCACTCCATTCATTGCCGCAAGAATGAAAGAGCTGGCATGGTAGTAGGAGTAGAAAGAGGATCGCATCCCAACACACACCTGCAGTTGAACACTGGAGACCATAAAATTAAGTGAAGGATGAAGTGGGGCAATCTGAAAAGGTAGCCATGGACTGTTTCAAATCTAGCAACACTGATGGCCACGATGGGCAGAAGGGATGCAGCTGCGATCATGAAAGAGTGCTGGTTCAATTCGCTCAAAGACCAAAACGACCAGGAAATCTGCAAGCGTTCAAAACGAACCAAAAGAGCAGCCAATTTCGCAGTGGAGACCAAGGGCAAAAGAATCCGAGTAGCCCTCGTGCCAAGATGTGTCGAGTGCTCCGTGCCAGTGACTACTACAAGCAAACTCTCTCTGACAATCGTAGATTGTGTTACTCCAAAAGGGAGGTAGTTTCGATAGTTGTTTTTTTCCTTGAACTTTCTTTCCAAGGAGCAAGACACCATGCACAAATGCAACTAAGCCCAACGCTGCAGGGAATAGTGTGAATAAGCTGCCATAGAGCCCACGTCACGATGAAAGGGACTGTGCAGGGTTCGCAAGGGAAAGAAAGCTGCCACCATGTAGAACACCCAGAGGTGCCCAAAACCTCCAAGACAAAGAAGTCTTGATGCCAAATGATCCAAAGCTTCAGCTCTGTGCGTTGGATCTCGGATTCCTTGCTTGTAGATGGCCTGCCAATGTGCATCCGCCGATTGAAAGCATAGCACCATCAGCACTGTGCACAACACCAAAAGTGTCTGGAAGGTTCCCCAGGGACGCAGAAAGGAGTCAGAGCATCTGAAGCGATGGCTTCGCCAACGAGATTGCAGTGACTGCTGCATATTTGTCAAGAACTCATCCGGCAGCAAGGAGTCCCCAATTGCCCACAAAAGTCGATGGCAGACTCGCTCAGGAAGAAGACTCACCACCACACAGAACCTGGCAATTATGAGAGGATGCAGCGTGATGTTGCACTGATTCATCCCACCCCCTAATTTATCGAATGCCACTCAACTCTGGCACTCAACTCCATGAATGACGTTGAATGTATTGTATGGGATCAGTGGGGAACATTCATGGTATTTCACCTTTGCTAACTGACATGGCAACAGAAAATAATTTTAACCCAAATTTTCCAACCAGCCGTTTCTATGGCCAACCAGCCGTGAATTATCACCAGAGGGTAATCATCCAAACGGCCTCTTCGAGCCTGACCACTCAACTGTCCACTCCATCTCCTGGAGGGTCACGTTTTTGGGTCCAAAACTGTTGGTTTTTGGCCAGAAAAAAATGCTACTTTGATGAACTTCAATGGAGAACATATGGGAAAATGATGATAAATTCCCGGGATGGGGTACACTGATGTACACCGGATATTAATATTCAGACAAACCCATAGATGCAGAGAGTCTGCACCCCTTTGCATCTCTCAACTTGGTCTGGAATAAAAGGTCTGGAAACTGCTCATCCATTCTTGTTCGCCTGGGCTTGCCAAGTGTGTACACTGATAGATATCTCAGCCAAGTCTCTTGCAAAAGCTTCTGGTGTACAGATTCATATTCCAACTGCACATAGGGCCAGTAGCTATAGCAGGTACTGGCATGACCTTGGAGTATTGGAGCGTTCCGTTGAGAAATTCCATCAGCGACATATCTTGGGGGACCAATAACGAGTGATGGCTGTTCGTCCAAGGTGCGAATGATGTACCTTGCCGTTTCTTCGGCCCATGCTGCTACCACATCCTTCGAACATTTGACCACTGCTCCACAGCTTTAACATATGTAGAGTGCTTTCGTGCAGCTGAAAAAGACGACAACAACAGGATTGCGCTCAGACTACCTTGTTTACAACATCAATCTCAAGGACGGCTTTAGACTCTTTAGACTCTAGACTTTGATTTTCAGATATTTTCAGGTTTGCTGGTTGTGCCCACAACCTGATTGAAGCATGCTTAAAAGGATTAAAAGGCAATCCTTCCGCCACTGTCGGCCACTGTCCTCTGGTTCAATGGTAACTGGGTTGGACGTCCAAAGACCGCGCCAACGGGATGGCCGAACCTTCACCAAAGCAGGCGTACAGTTGGTGTCACTCACTTCAGAGCTGTCCCACCGAGGCAAGGGTAGAATTTGGATAGAAAAAATGTGACGAATGTGACAGAAACTCTGAGAAACTTTGAGAAACTTTAGTGCCTCGGATACCATTCCAAAACTTCCAAGAGTGACCCAATGTTTGTTATTTGTTCCACATGTTTTCTACATAGCACTTCACATGGTTTGCGACGGCACCTGGACGAAGTAGTCAGTGAACAAGCGCTCAAAGTCTAAGACCCAGCTGTGGCACCGAGCAGGTGGCGAATCCACTGGTTTCAGCTGGCGCTCGCTCTTCAGTGATGTCCAAGTATCAGCTGCTTCAGCACATGTCCTTGTAACGAGATTGACTTTGAAAGCCATCATGCTGAGGAAAATGGTGATAACTGATAACTCATAACCCATTGGAATTTACGTAGCCTCCATGCAGACAAACTCAGAGAGAGAGAGAGAGACTCTCGTAATGGGACGCATTGCTCTCTCTCTCTCTCCCTCTCTCTCTCTCCCTCTCTCTCTCTCCCAGTGTCAACACAATAAGATGTTTCTCAAGGCACACCAAATTTAGGCCATGGATTGTAAAACTCTCGACTAGCTGGCCAGCCAGGCCCAGTTATATAATATATATATATATTAATTTAAATGAGCTCGGCATATTGCTATGATGTCTCTCTCAGCTACTCTTTCAACTCCTCTCCAAACCATTAGTACGCTGGAGGCATACACAAAGCTGTCCAGGTTTATGTTGCACTAGGTCAAGAAATGTCCAAAAATGATCCATTTTTTCTCACTCACATCAGCATAGTCGTGGTGCCATCTGGGTGATCTTGGAGTCTCAGGGCTTCGCTGCTCACCGCGGCGCCGAAGCATGGAGGGCAAACCCATCTCAGCCATGGTACCTGACATCGACGTTCCAAGATATTCGAACTGGGCAAAGTGGCGCGCAGGGCAGGACATTGAGGCAATGAACAACAGCAGCAGCAGCAACAACAACAACAACAACAACCACCAACAACAACAAAAAAAAAGAACAACAAGAACAACAAGAACAACAAGAACAAGACCTGCTCATGCTTCCGTGATCAAATCTGTAAGCCATCATTCATTGCCGAATGTTCTTAATTGAGGTGATGTTAATCTGCCATTGTCTGTGCACATTGCCTGGCAGTGGCAAGCTGACATCGCCGCGCGGTGGAAGGGGCTGTAGCACTGGAGCGGGCCTTTCCTGTCAAAGCCACCAAGGAAGAACAAAAAAATGATTTTGTCATGTTTGAAGATGGATAAACATTGATAGTTTGCATTCTTCGACCTGGGGTCATGACATGAGCTAGGTTCCTTCAAAGCCTCATTCTTTTCAGGTCCTTGACCTTTGTTCTGCAAGCTTACGGAGCTTACGGATATTTTCTGGCCCGTGACTCCTCATCAATCTGCGCCAGCCCTGCCACGCCATCCACAGTGAAGCTACGCAGAATCGGCCTGGCTCAAGTCACCAAGGTGAGAATTGCAACCCTTGGGGAGCTGTCAGCTTCCTTCAGTATCTCCTTCTTATCCATCTTATCACTGACTTATCACAGCGAAGCAATGCGAAGCATCATGCGGCCTAGTGCGGGCGACTGGTGAGAGTAAGCCACTCTGGCTTTTTTGCCAGGGAATCTTTGGCGTCGGAAGCTTCAGAGACATGGCTGCAATATGCTGCAATGGTTTCAAGAATGTGCCAGTGATTAATGACGTTGCACAAGGGGTTCGTCTGATTTCTACTTGTTCCAGAACGGAAAGTTTCACCTGCTTGTATGTTTTGCGTGCTTTTCGCAGCTGTGTGTCTTGCGGACTTGCGCTGAAATCTTGCCAGGAGGCAAACATGAACAGGCAACAGTCCCTCAAATCATTGAATGACTCAGCATCACTCACTGGATCTTGTCAGACTGGTAGGCCAAGTATGGCTTTGTTCAAAACTCGAGCACGCTGCCCAAACCCCCTGCTGCAGACCACCAAAACCGGTGATAGTTCAGTTATCTTCATCCCCTCATTTCATTTGGTATCCTGGCCTTTGACACAACCCAATATCACATCTATTTTCCGGGCTGTCCTGCCAATCTCTTCGAGGCACAACTGCGATACCACAGAGGTTGCCATAATAAAAGGCATCCTGGCCGCTACCGCGATGCCGCGAAATGCAGTGCTGGCAGCATTTAGAAAAAACGTGCCTGTCCTCCATGGAAGCTGGCACCTGCTCCAAGTAGACTTGCCAGGAGGTTGCTGAAATTGTGTCCACTGCCTTTCAATTGAGGATTCAGAATCGGAAAAAGCAACAGATCTGCCAAAAGACATGCGAGTCGCACCGCACTGGAGATTCACAGCAGCACATTGCTGCGGCTTTTGAGGATCTGGGCTTTCGTACCCAAAAATTGGACTTTTCTTCGTCGGGCGGCTTACCACCAAGCAGCACCAAGTCTGACCTTGGTTGACACAGATTTTCGGGCACCTCGTTACATCAGTGGCACGTAACTCAAAAAGGCAACGATTACAGCTATGGAATTTCCATGTTGCCAGCTCTATCAGACTCAAAAATGGATCCTACAATGATTGCTTCAACAGCGATGCGCCTTGGCAATGCCGCGGCGCAACTTGGTGCAAACTCCGTGTTCTCATGAATGCTGTTGTAATTGCCTTGGCAGTGTCCAAAAATCCAAAGGTTAATGTTGCTATATCTGATTCGAACAATCCCTCTTCATCTAGTTAGTGCCACCCCACAGAATTACCAGGGCTGAACTGGCCATTGCTCAAGTGCCCTTCGGCGCTGCTTTATCGACATCATCCATGACAGGTATTTCTACCAGTGAAATGTCAGCTTCAGACCACCCCCATCTGGCTGAATCATCTCCACGCGGCCGCTCCTGTAGACCTGCTCAGGAACTACCAACTGGTAAAGTGGCTTTGTCTTAAATTGGGGAGAGTTATCCCTGATGCGTGGCAGTGTTAATTGGCAAAATGATAAATCATGATAACCATTAACCATCGGCTTTGAGACCAAAGTTTAAATATGTTTTGAGACAACCCCAAGCAAACGTCGAGATGTTTTGAGGCAAAGCAGCTCCAGGCATTAAGCTTCCAACACAAATCAGGGTATCTTCCTTCCATGTCGTCATTGATATTGCATCATCGTCAACCACGTTCTCACAAACCTCTCCCACGGCAGGGCTAGCACATTCAGAAAGGGAGTACAGGAAAGCCGCCAACAGCAAAGCTGGGACCGACGAACGCCTGTTTAGCTGTGCCGCTTTGAGCGTCCGCAACGGAGTAGACTAGCCTTAGCAAGCAGACACTCAAAACAAAACGAGTTCGCGAAGCCTGAGCCAATATCTGTCTTGACAAGACGGCTGAATCAAAGGTGGACCAACGAGAACTGTATGGTCTCACAAGAATCCAAAATGTTGGCATCAAGGCTGCATACCGCTATGCAAAGGACTTCCTAAAGTCAAGCTGTTGGGACTGACAACAAGTGAAAAATCCATTTAAAAAGTATTGAGTTCGGAACAAAGAGTTAGCACAAACAATGCAAATGAACGCAGTGCCCTCCTGGACAGAGCAGCTTGCAGAACTCGACAACACGCAGATTTAAGCACCCAAGCCCGAGCCTGCCATAGAAAAACACAACAACTGCCTGTGGCTGAACACACGCTGCAACATCTGCAACTCCTCATTCGTAGTGATCATAGTCGGTGGATCAGGCGTTGGTATGCGACCTCAGCAACCAAAAGGCGCCACAGGTTATGATCCACGAGGTCGGCATCTGCTTTACCTCCTATCCCTTGGTTTGGTGAAAGCCAGGTGGATGCAGCATTTGAGGTGCCCACATTTAGGGCCGATCGTCGGTTTGGAGAAGGACGGCAGATCTTTGCACCCAGAGACCTGTCGGAAGCGTGGACACTCAGCAAACTTCTGCTGAAGCTCTGTCCAATTAAAACTGACACAGAAACAAAACGTGCTGGAAAGCCAATCAGGGTTTGTCTGAGTAGGCTACCCACAATCATGTATTTCATCATTCCCATTAAAATGACCACAAAATGAGTGTGTGTGGAAACCAACCCGTGCAAAAGATTCCAGAGCTCTGATTTTGACATCTCTGCTGCCCCGGCAAGCTCTTCTCCAGCATATGCAAGGACGGTTGACCCCTGCACCGGAAGGCTTTTGCGTGACATCCGGGTGTAATATAACGAAACACATCGGGCATGCAGTAGTTATATAAGCAACGCGCCTGTCATTTTCCACTGCAACATTGAGAGATCCATCGCCAGCAAGACCACTTTGGTCCAAAAGCTGGCACTTTCACCCAACCAGACCAAGACGTTGATCAGGGCGGGTTTTAGACACATTGGGCTGGGGAAGCTTGAGAGTGATCATTGTAGTTGCATGCTTGAAGTCAAGCAACGCGCCTGTCATTTTCCACTGCAACATTGAGAGATCCATCGCCAGCAAGACCACTTTGGTCCAAAAGCTGGCACTTTCACCCAATCTTTCCACCACCCTCTCCAAGCTCCTCATCGTCTTTGGTCTGGAAGAGGTTCCACCATGTAGTGGGTGGGATTGCAGAGTTCAGGAAGGCCACGGACTGTCCCAAGATTTTGGTGAAGTTCCCAGCCAGCTGATTCACCCTAATCTTGGTCTGCCTATCCAGTGTTTCTGCAAAGGTGGTGTAGAGGATTTCCTGAAGGTATATTTCCATAACCTTGTTTGTAACCCAACGTCCCCTACGCCGCACTTTTTCTGAGTCTTCCGATTCCAGCAGCATATGTGTAGCACTCCCAGGGCGAAGACTCCCTAGGCTGAAGGGATGTCGCCCTTTGATCTTTTCTGTCGCCAGCCCAACTCCCGCTAAAAGGCAGCAAAAGCGCTTTCTCAGAGTAGCTGCTGAATAGGGCCAGAGTCTTGTTGATGATGGGCACTTTCCATATACTGCTGAAAGTAGGCTCAGCACATCCGGTGGGTCGATGCGCGCTGCTTGATGGCGTGCTGCACGCCCACGTGTTTTCGGTGTCCGGATTCTGAGGAGGCCAAAGAGCACACCTGGCATCGAGTCTTCTGGGAGTATCAAGTCACCTCGCTCAGCAATCAGGACTTCCCCAATGCGAAGAAGCCCACACCAGGTCAAGCTAATCACTGATGCCTCAAGTGGCCACCCCCAAAGCAAAGCCAAGGCCACAATTGCTAGGAGGATTGATAGAGGCAAAGCAGGATGATGTTCACCTGGTTCATCTGACTGCCAGGCGAAGGCCAGGTCCCAAGCCCCAACCAACTGCTTCCTGATGACCGGTCTGGCCTGTGCCACAGCGTTAATTGTCTCAGCAAACTTCCCATACGCTTTCCCAGATAGAAACATATCCTGGCCATAGGCGGTGAGCCACTTGCAGATCTCCTCAGGGTCAGGCGGTTTTGCTGAAAGCAGCTGAGACAAAGAAACCTTGTGCACCTCAAACAGCCAGCACCGAAAATCTGAGAGCAGCTTTGTTCTCCGGTTCAGCGTGTCTTGTCTGGCCACACGCGTGGCAACCAGTTCAATCCCCTTCCGTCTTTCTGCACGACTCCTCTCAAGCGAGGTCAAAGGCTCCATGGCGTCAGCTAGGCTAAGTCCAAAAATCAAAATCCACAACAGCCTATAGGGGGCTCTTTGTACAGGACAAGACGTGACAACCCAGCCCACGACCATGTATGAGACACCGAGAGCCAGGACAAGAGGGAAAATTCCATTAAGAAAAGTCCAAACAAAAGTCCATGACATCGAGAGGAGGTGCCCATAGAGTCGGTCAAAATCCAGGGTGACAGACAGACGAGATTCAGGGAAAGTCCAAAATGAAAGTCCATCACTGTGCTGAGCCTGAGCAGGGGATTGCAGAAGAAGAAGCAAGATGCAGAGGCGGAGCCAGTTTGAAGCCCAACGAGAGAGTTGGCATGAGTGGAGAAGCTGGATCTGCTGCTGGCTAAGACCCTTCCGGACAGAGAGAGGAACAGGACTTCTCACTGGTACTCGTCGGGTCGGGTCATCAGCTATGTTGAGCCGAGTTGGAGCAAAATTCCATCCAGGATAAAGTCCAAAGGCTACCTGAATGGCCGAGCTCCTCTTGCAGGTTCTTTGAAGTCCATTGGCAGAGCTCCTGCCCTTCGCCAAAGCTCCTTTCGCCACTCGGGAGTCCATGAGGGCTACAAACCGGCTATCTGGCTGATCTGAGGCAGCTGCTGATAAGACACCAAGGCCTCCAGGAGCTTCCAACACATTGATATGGCTCTTGCGCTTCCAGTGCCAGCACTTTCGAGTTCTCCATTTCTCCGTCAGCAAAACATCATTCGAAACCACGCTCTCAAGGCCAAAAACATCTGGGCCCCTCTCCTCAAAAGCACAGCCCAACCTCAAAGCCCGGCTGAACTCCTTTGCTAGGTGCTCTGCAAGAGGCCAGGTGTAGACTGCTGATCCCTTGGTAAGCTGGCCCTGGATCTTCACATGTGAGTGGCCCCCAGGACATTTGACTTCAAGGCGGAGAGGGTCAAGGCCATGCACAAGAAAAATGAACTCTTTCTTGTGAGGAGAGGCAAACTGGCAAGATGCGATGACTGCCTCGCAAAAGCCCAGTCTCTTCAGGGCTCTCCAGGCTCTCATCCACGCCATCTTGCTCCGTCTCGGCTGCTCCTTCCCACATGGCCT